CGCAACCTGGCCCACCTCTCTGATGAGGCGCTGGGGGCCTTGGGGATGCTCTGGGAGGCGTGCGAATCCATCGGCATGCTTCCCAAGCAGCTGGTTTGGATCCTGATGCCGATGCTCCCCAAGGCGCAGGGGGGGCACAGGCTTATCGTCCTGTACGCGGCGATGTACAGAGTCTGGCAGCGACTGCGACGTGACGCCCTCCAGGATCTGCAGCATCTTCTCTCTCGTGTTTACTGGGGTGCTGCAGCGGGGAAGTCTGCAGTAGATAGTGCGTGGAAGGTGGCGGCGCAGGCTGAAGCATGTGTACAGGATGGGCGACTCAGCCTCAGCATCATCGCCGACTATTCCAAATATTACGAAGGCATTGAGTTGGCTGCAGTTAGAGCGAAGTTCGTAAGATATGGAGCTCCGCTTCCGGTGGTCAAGCTGCTCTTCAACACTTGGCATGCGCCGAGGATCATCCGTCTCCTTCGGCACCATGGGGCCCGACCCCGTCATGGGCTTTATGGCTTCCCAGCTGGAGACGCCTATGCCGACGTCGGCATCAAGGTGCACGCAGTTGAGGAATATGATCGATATGTGTCATTGCATTCTTACGTGGACTTCTCTAGCTATATAGATGACAGTTGTCTCGGCGTTGAAGGGAAGACGAAGGAGGAGGTGATTCAGCTTGGCGTAGCTGCGGGCAGAGGGTTCCAGCAGGTTGCGCGTGCACTCGGTGCGACCATCAACGACAAGCTAGCGATCGTTGGCAGCGTGAGTGGGCTTGCTGACGAAGTAGCGCGGCGCCTGGAGGTGCCTCAGGAGGCGTCGAAGCGTTCGACCCATTACCTCGGTACGGACTTTGCTGCAGGTCGCTCGAGAGGGTCTGCTCATGTCCGAACCAAGCAGAAGGGGCGCCTCCAGCGCTTCAAGCTTCGACAGAAAAAGCTGGCCCGCTACAAGCGTGCGCTCCCAGTGCAGAAGGATGCTCGCATGGGCAAGGTGTTCAGAGTGGGTGCACGGCCTGGCCTCGCCTACGGGATCGAGGTCAGCGGCATGACGGACACCGAGCTCTCCGCCCTGCGCCGGGAGTATGGCAAGTACGTTAAGCCCTACCACGGGGGCGTCTCGGCGGGTGCCAAGCTGGTCCTCGAGGGGGGCCCCGCCGCCAGGCAGGCGCTGGCGCCGGCGCTTCAGTGGTCGCGGATGGTTTGGGTGGCGGTCGCCAGTCCAGAGAGCGCGCTAGCATCGCTGGAGACGCTCCGTGCCTGGTGGCAGCAGGCTCTCGGCAGACGAGAGCTCAACGACTTGCAGTGGCGGACCTCCAGAGGGCCACTGGAGCGCGCGGCCCTGTGCGTCCGCCGGGTGGGCTGGACGGTGGATTCCCCCACGACATGGCGCGACCACCGCGGGACTGCAATCCCACTGGAGCAGCTGACGCCTGGCGTCCTCGAGGTGCTCATGACGGCCGCATTGCAGCGGCAGCACGAGCTCGCACTGGCGGAGAAGTGGCAGTGCCCGCTCGGGGCCAGGGTCTCGTTCGACCTGCTGCGACCGCTGGTGCGGCCGAAAAGCACCAAGTACACGTGCTAACAGAAGTTCTTAGTGAAGAGCATGGCATGTGGAGGCTGCTGGACTCGTGAACGCGCTCGGCTGCGCGGTTACGAGACCAAAGGGAAGTGCGACTGCGGCCAGACCGACACCCTGCAGCACCGCCTGTACACGCGCACGAAGCAGGAGGTGGTGCAGGCCAGGGCCGAGTCCGAGGTCCCCGAGAGCTTCATCCAGCGCGGCGCTGACTGCGAGTTCGAGCACTCCCTCCTCCTCCAGGGCTGCTTTGAGTATGCGGATGCTGACCTGCCGCCGCTCGCTCCCGGGCACGAGGCGCGAATTGCTGATGCCGATGGGCAGCTGGTCGACACCGAGGCGGAGGAGATGATTAACCACTCCTGCCCCGACGCCGCGTCGATCGAGCTGGCCGCCGACGGCTCTGCCAGCAAGCCGGCGCTGCTGGAGCTTCGGCGGGCGGGGTGGGCCGTGGTGCTGTTGGATCCTGCCTCGAGCACCCCGCTGCTTGTGCTCTTTGGCACGGTGCCGGCCGCCATGCCCCAGAGCTCCGCTATGGCTGAATTTCTTGGAATGGCATTCGCAGGTCAAGTGGCAGATCGCCCGGCAGACCTCCATCTTGATTTCATGGGCGCGGTGCGAGCTGGTCAAAAAACTCGCATTGAGCAGGCCCTTGCGAAGAGCATGTACTCGTGCGTGCAGGTATTTGGGAACAGCCTCCGAGGGAAGGACCACATTCGAGCTGTCAATCATGGGAAGGCGCACAGGTCGGGTTCTGAGTATGAGCAGCTAGGTCCAGTCGGGCGCCGCCTGACATATGCGAATGCTGTAGCAGATGCATATGCTAAGCGCGCCGTGCAGTTCCACCCAAAGCCTTCTCCGGAGTTTGTTGAGGCCCTCGAGAGCTCTGAGACGGACACTGCTCGGCTTGTTAAGCTTGCTACTGCCGTCTTGCCCCTGTATGAGCAGGAAGAACGATGGCCGCGTCTTCCAGTATTTCGTAGGCAGAGGAACGTTCGAAAAGAAGGGTGGCATGACTGGTGCTCCACCTCTTTCGGGACCCAGTGTCGTGTTTGCCTAACTGTTCTTCAGGACTCCCAGGACAGACCCCTGACGGAGTGCCGGGGGACTTCTGACTTCCTCCGAGCGTACCTCCGCTCCCCCATGGGTCATCAGCTTGTCGCTGTTCATCAGTCTGGTAGTAGGTGCTCCGCTCCGTCTGAGCAGAGCGATAAGCCAGTCTTCGTGTGCGTGTTGTGTGGTGCGTGGGCCCAGCAGAGACGGAAGCAGAAGCTCCGCAGCCCGTGCACCCACCCAACTTCCAAGGGAACCGAGGTTTTGAGAAATCTTCGGAAAGGAGTGGGCCCCCACAAGGGGCTTGCCAAACAGATTTTGTCGGTTCTTCCTCTGGACCGCGTGGCACGGACAGCAAGTGCACCAGCGGTTGAAACCACCAGCGTTTCTGTGAGGTTGAATCCTGATGCAAGTTACCCTTTTGAAGCTCGAATGGCCGCCCTCCACGAGCGAATTCTTCAGAAGGAGTTGGCCTCTCGAGCGAGCTCCACCAGAGAGTTCGCAAGCGAGCCTCGGGGTCCGCATGGACACCGAAATTCGTGACATTTTCGTTGCGTCCTGAATTGTGGATGCAGGTGGTGGCACCGAAATTCGTGACATTTTCGTTGCGTCTGGTGCCGTCTCGGGGTCCAGCTGGTGGCGGAAGTGGTTAATGGGTATGGGCTGAAAAGACCCTAAGCGCCACCCGCTGGAACCCATTGTGTTGGCTGAAGCCTGGTCCGCCTCCTCGGCGCTTGTTCTTATTTATCCTCCTCCCCCCCCCCCTCTCTCCTCCTCCCCCTCCCCCTTCTCTCCTCCTCCCCTCCTCCTCTCATCCCCCTCCTCTCCTCCTCCTCCTCCATCCCCTCCCTCCCCCTCCTCCTCCTCCTCCTCATCCTCCTCCATCCCCTCCTCCTCCTCCCCCCTCCTTCCCTCTCTCCTCCTGCTCCCTTCGGATCCTGGCGCCTTCGCCCCGCCTCGGGCCAAGGGGCCCTCGCAGGTCGCTCCGTCTTGGAGAATGTCAGGAGGGAACAAAAAACACAGACACAATTAATCGTCCCCTCCCAGGAAAATATAAGGAAATATGGGAAGTGGGGGGGAAGACAAAAACCTAGAAAATATGGAACATATGGGGAATCCGGTTATTTGAGTGTATTTATTTGTGTGTCCCAGGGCCCCTTCAGAATGACGATGCTGCTGATGCTGATTCTGATGATTATCATGCCACTTCTGAGTATGGTCGTAGTGGTGTTTGATGCTTATGGTGATGATGATGATTGCAATGACGATGAACGTGCTGTTGTTGATGATGATGATGATGATGATGATGATGCGGATGATGATAATGATGATGGTGATCGTGATGCTGATGCTGCTGATGATGATGGTGATGGTGACGATGATGGTAATGGTAATGACGATGGTGATGATCATGTTGTTGATGATATTGATGATGATGATGCTGATGATGATGATGATGATGCTGCAACTGATGTTGATGATGATGCTGATACTGATGCGGATGCTGATGGTGATGATGATGATGGTGATGATGATGATGATGATGCTGATGATGATGATGATGATGATGCAACTGATGTTGATGATGATGCTGATACTGGTGCGGATGCTGATGGTGATGATGATGATGGTGATGATGATGATGATGGTGATGATGATGATGATGATGATGATGATGCTGATGCTGATGCTGATGCTGATGATGATGATGATGATGATGATGATGATGATGATGATGATGATGATGATGATGATGATGATGATGATGATGATGATGATGATGATGATGACGCTCGAGCAGCTTACCCTCCGCAGCCAATGCGGCTCAGGCCGGGGCCCCGGGGCCCGCGCGGGCGCCCCGCCCTGGCGCGCGGCGCAGGGCGGCGAGGCGGCCACGGCCCCGACGCCGCCCCGTCGCCGCCCAGTAGCCCAGGGCGCCTCCCCGCGCGCACGCTGGCGGCCGCGCGCGCGAGGGCCGCCGCGCGCGCCGCTGCCACCGGAGGCTGGCGCGACGTGGACGGCGACGGCGACGCCGATGGCGACGCCGACGCCGACGGCGACGAGGGCGGCGACGGCGTCGACGACGGCGCGGGCAGCGTCGACGGCGACGACGGCGGCGTCGGCGCTGACGGCAAGGACGACTAAGGCGGCGGCGGCCGCCGACGCCGACCCGCAGGGGGTCCACGGCCGTGTGGACCTCCGCGGGTGCGCGGGGGCGGCGCGGACGCCGTCGCCGACGCCGGCGGCGACGCTGGCGGCGACGGCGGCGGAGACGCGGACGTCGCAGAAGGCGGCGGCGGCCGACGGCGACGAGGGCCACGCGGCGATGGCCCCGCGTCCTCGAGGGGGCGGTGGCGCGCAGGTGGCCGGCTCCCCCTATGCCAGTGCGGAGGCCTCGTCCGGGGCCGGGGGAGAAGCCGAGCGCCCTGAAAGACCCGTGCGACGACAGGCCTGTGAAGGATGTCGTGCCTCCCCCGGCGCACCTGCTCACCGCCGACGTCTTGATGGACGCCAATGGCGTCCCCGACGTGGACGTGCTGAGGCGCCACCTGGACCACGAGGGCGTCCTCGCGCAGGAGCTGCTGCTGGACCTCATCAAGAAGGCCTCCGACCTGCTCGAGCAGGAGCCCAATGTTCTCAAGCTCCAGGACTCGAAGAAGAAACAACGGCATAAACATACACTTTTGGCGCTCCGCGCGGAGCGCCAACAGTTTATGGTTATGTCATTTTTAAACTCTGAGGACCCCATCACCGTCGTGGGCGACATTCACGGTCAGTACTTTGACCTGGTGAAGCTCCTCGAGGTCGGTGGCGACCCAGGGGAAGTCCAGTACCTCTTCCTGGGAGACTACGTGGACCGTGGTTCCTTCTCTGTGGAGGTGATGGCGCTGCTGTATGCCATCAAGATAAAGAACCCGAAGCGCATCCGCATGTTGCGCGGCAACCATGAGTGCCGCCAGATGACTAGCTTCTTCAACTTCCGCGAGGAGTGCGAGTACAAGTACGACCTGACTGTGTACCACGCCTTCATGGACTCCTTTGACATGCTGCCCCTCTCGGCGACCATCAACGGGAAGTTCCTCGCGCTGCACGGCGGCCTGTCGCCGGAGCTCACCTCGCTGAAGGCGGTCGGGGCGCACGCAACGGGGCTCAGCGCAACTGGGGCCCTGCCAGAACGCCGAATCCTGTCAGGAGCCGGTTTGGGAGCCGCTTGCGGCCCAAGAGGTGGCCTTCCGCATTGGTTCAGCTGGGCCTGGGAGGCCCCCCCAAAAAAATCGCTCCGCTTTTTGTTGCCTACATTGGTTGAGCTGGGTTTGCGCTGGGACTGGCCGATCCACGCGTAAGTCGGGCACGTCCCTCTACAGGAGGAATACTCAAAAGTCGGAAGGAAATAGTCTGGGGACGATTCTTCTTTACAAAAACAAAACTATGTTTGACTTTTGGAGGGTATTTTTTTGGGGGGGGGGGTATTTTTTGTTTTTCGTCCAAAATCCGCCTGTAGGAGGACGTGCCCCGACCTAAATGCGCGCCCGAGGCGATCAACAGCGTCAACCGCTTCTGCGAGCCGCCCCGGGAGGGTCTGCTCTGCGACCTGCTCTGGAGCGACCCGCTGGAGCCCAAGGAGGACGAGGCGCCTGCCACGAAGCCGGCGAAGAAGGCCGCTTCGGTGCTCGCGGCTCACATAACGGGTGAACGACACGTGGGGCGTTCTAAACCCAGACGTGATCGCGTCGTACAAAAAATCGAGACGTAGGTTTTTCGTCGTTTTCGACCTCTCGGGGCCCTTGCCGGGCCTCGGGACCGTCGGAAAACAACTCGGGATGAAGAACTGGTCCCGGGGAAGTGGTCGGGAGATCGGGGGCCCGTGTCTCGAAAAAATCGAGACGTCGGATGTCTGGGAAAAGGGCCTTGCCTTCGAGGATCGCAGGAGCTGTCATCTCCTCCGCGGCGGAAGGGGCGGCGGAAGGTCGGCGGTTCAGTGAAACGGGGCGGCCTCCGCCAGCGGGAGCCGGCGGACGCCGGCGCAAGGGCGGCGGAAGGTGGCGGAAGTAAAAGGTTGTCGCCCAAGAGATGAACACGTTTTGGGGTTCAGGGTCTCCGGGATCGCCCACGTAAGGGTGACCGTTGGCCGGAGTGACCTTCGATGCGGGCTCAAGGGGTCCCCCCGATCGCGCAGCGCGGTGCGATCATGGCCGCTTGCGCGCCGGGATTTGGCCCCCCTTTGCGCCTCCCTGGATGCGCCGATCAAGGATCAGTCTTGCCTGGGGTCACTCCTGCGTGCAGCCGAAGGGGGGTCAGCGCGAACGAGATCAGCCAATGCCCTCCGACCGAGCATTCTCTTTGGGTGGAGGGCAAGGGGTGAACTCTGAAATGCCGTTTCGATGGATGTTCGGTGAGTCACAAGACGGATTGGTTTGCGAGGTGCAGAAGCTCATACCCAGACATCCGACGTCTCGATTTTTTCGAGACGCGGGCCCCCGACCTCCCGACCACTTCCCCGGAACCAGTTCTTCATCCCGAGTCGGTTTTTGACAGTCCCGAGGCCCGGCGAGGGCCCCGGGAGGCCGAAAACGACGAAACACTTTCGTCTCGATTTTTTCGAGACGCCCGATGTCTGGGTATGGATTTCGCCCTGAGCCCATCCACCCTAAGAGAAAATGCTCAGCGCAGCCACTGCCCTCCGAGATCCTCTGGCTGGCCCGGTTTGGGGAGTCACCTGGAGCCGACCCCGCTGCCTCGCCCTCCGTTGATCAGGAGGAGAAACGACACACACGGGCACACATCATTCGCCGATGGGGAAAATGTAGGGGGAGTGGGGGGGAAGACGAACACCCAGAAGATCCTGGGAGATATGGGGAATCCTGGGATTTGTGCGTTTTTGTCTGTGCGTCCTGGGGCCCCTTCCGTTGGCCCCGGTTCGGGAGCTGCCTCGTGGCCGGCCTGGTGCTCGCGCCGTGGCCCCGGCTGGCGCCGGCCTGCGCTTGTTCTCGAGCAGTGGCGAGGCGGCCTGGCGTGCCCACAGGCCTGCCACGCCATTCGGGCCAGACGAGAGAGGGGGAGGAGGAGGAGGAGGAGGAGGAGGAGGAGGAGGAGGAGGAGGAGGAGGAGGAGGAGGGAGGAGGAGGAGGATAGGAGGAGGAGGAGGAGGAGTAGGAGGGGGAGGAGGAGGAGGAGGAGGAGGAGGAGGAAGAGGAGGAGGAGGGAGGAGGAGGAGGAGGAGGAGGAGGAGGAGGAAGAGGAGGAGGAGGGAGGAGGAGGAGGAGGAGGGAGGAGAAGGAGGAGGAGGAGGAGGAGGAGCAGGAGCCGGAGTTCATCGGGAACCTGGAAGATCGGGGGCGGCAAAGAGGGGGGTGATGACTAGGGCGGGGTGGATATCATGGCGGGGGCCATGGTTTTTCCCCAGATTTCATGGCGCCTCTTCTTGTTTCATTACGTCCCAGGCCACCCCCGCTGGGCCGCGCACATGCCGCCGGCCATGATTTGCACCCCCCCCTCATGGACGCCCCCCTCATTGGCCGCTCCCGAAAAGAGGGGGATTGGGAAAGGGGGGGTTACGAAATTTGCGGCATGCAGCTGGTTTCGGCCCCACCGAGGCGCCCATTCTTCGATACATAGTCGCTTCCGGCGTCGGGAGGCGCCGGGAAAGTCAGCTACGTGAGCCGATTCTCAACCCCCCCCTTTGCTATCCCCCCCTTTCGCCCGACCCGAGCAATGTTCTAAGAACCTCCTGTGGTCTCTTCGAATTGTGCTTCGAACATTTCTGGCTGGGACTGATTTGTTTCCGTACATCGGTTTTGTGTTCTAAGGACATGGTCTTTGTTCTTAAGTCATTTTGGGGTTCTAAGAACATTTCGTGGTAGGCCTATAGGAGTGCCGGGACGGTCGGTCCCTGCTCAATTGCTGACGCCGGTTTGCGCTTATGTATCCGGGTTAGTGCGCCCCCGAGGTGCCCTCGTTCATCCCGAACGACGTCAGGGGGTGTTCCTACTTCTTCAGCTTCGAGGTCACAGGAGGAAGAGGTACCGACACCGCTGCCCCTGCCTCGCGTTTGCCCTCCTGGGCCTCTGGGAAGGCCCTCGTCGCCGCGGTGGGGTTCGCTGCGAAATCCTGGTCAGAACGCGCCCCAGGCGAGGCCGGGGAGTCGCAGTAGGGGTATCTTCTGCTCTCCCCACGGAGGGTGCCGCCAAGTTCCTGCAGAAGAACTCGCTCCTCTCCGTCATCCGCGCGCACGAGGCGCAGCTCGAGGGCTACAAGATGCACAAGACCAACCCCGCCACCGGGTTCCCTGCAGTCATCTCGGGTCGGTTGAGAGGGTGAGGGGAGGAACAGCCACCCGGCCCGGAGAAGTGGCGTTCACCAAACGGCCCTGGGCGTTTGCCAAACAGCCCTGCCCTGTTCGATGCCTCCTGGGGCGCTATCACTAACCGACTTCGCGTGTCGGGGTGGTTATGCAGCCAAGACGCTGAAGTAAGGAACACTTTGGATGCGGAAGGGGCTCGATGCTCCTTGCGTCCCTCCGTGGCTGTTCCTCCAGCCCTCCTCGTGCACCCAGGCTTCTCTGAAGCCACAGAGGGGCTTCGTTCCCCATTTTGCGTTCCTTACTTCAGCAGCCCGACTGTATTCCGGGGGGGGAGGAGGAGGAGGAGGAGGAGGAGGAGGAGGAGGAGGAGGAGGAGGAGGAGGAGGAGGAGGAGGAGGAGGAGGAGGAGGGATTGTTTGACCTATATATCGACGGGGGGGTGGGGAAGGGGGGGCGGCCCGAGGGCCGCCGCGTGCCGCCGGTCGCGGCCTCGCCGCCGGGCGCGGTGCCTGATGCCCTGGCGCCTCTGGCGCCGGGGTGGCGGTGGGACCGTCAGCTGCGTGGAGCCGCATCCTGCCTCCTCCTCCTCCTCCTCCTCCAGTCCTCCTTCCTCCTCCCCTCCTCCCCTCTCCCCTCCCCCTCCTCCTCCTCCTCCTCCTCCTCCTCCTCCTCCTCCTTCTGTACATGTTTTCGGGACGCTGGACCGGAGTTCAAGCAGCGGTGGGCCCACCCGTTCAAGCAGCGGCGAAGCGTCCTGGCGTGCCTGTAGGCCCACCAAGCAATGTTTATGAGAACCTTGTGTGGTTCTCACGAGAGGTTCTTAGGACACATCTGGTTGGTACTGTCTCGTTTTAGTCACATCGGGCCTATGTTCTCAGAACATTGTTTTCGTTCTTGCGACATTTTCGGGTTCTAAGATCATTTCGTGGTAGGACTATAGGAATGCCGGAACGGTCGGTCCCTGCTCAACCCGTTGCTATCCCCCCCGTTCGTCCGACCCGATCATCACCGTGTTCTCGGCCCCGAACTACTGCGACGTCTACAACAATAAGGGCGCCGTCTTGAAGTTCGACAACAGTTCGCTGAACATCCTGCAGTTCAACTGCTCCCCGCACCCGTACCACCTGCCGAATTTCATGGACGTCTTCACGTGGAGCATGCCCTTCGTCATCGAGAAGGTGACGGAGATGCTGTACTACGTGCTGCAGACGCCTGCCGGCGAGGAGGCGAGAGACCAGGAGGGCCTGGAAGCAATGGACCTGCCGCCCCTGCCCACCAAGGCGACCCGTGGGCCAAGCCTTCGCGGTCCTGGCCCCCGCAGCGACGGCGAGCGCCGGCGCGGCCGAGTGCCTTGCGGGCTGCGCGCGGCCAGGGCACACCTAGACGAGAGGAACGAGGGGCGGCCGCGGCGGGGCAACGCCAGGGGAGGCCACGGGCGCAGAGAGTCCAGACCAAGAGATCGTCGCGGGCGGCCTCGGGCGCCGACAACTGGCGTGCTGAAGGGTGTGCGGCCAGTCCCGGCTGCCGGACCGAGCGCACAGCACCCCGGAGGCCCGATGCCGCGATGTTTCGATGCGGGTTCCTCGGAGGCCTTGGCCGCTTCCCCAGGGCTGGTGTTGCATCCCCAGTCGTTCTTTGACGGTCCCGGAGCCCGGCGAGGGCCTCCGGAGGCCGAGCCAGGCGAAGCGCACGTGATTTGTCTGCAGTGCGCTGGCTCTCTGGGCAGCAGGGAGCACGTCTCCAGCTCTCGGGACTCCGTCCGCACCGCCAAGGCACGGACGTGGACACGGCAGGCCCGGGTCGTGACGACCTGCGCGGTGGCCTCTGGCACCGCGTGTATGGTTCGATGTTGAACGACCGCGGCTTCAGGAGAGCGATGCCGAGCGCACCCACACAATTTCGTGGTGCTTCATCCTGCTGGCAAAAACCTCGTTTTGTTTCGTGCCGCGTCGCTGCGCCTTTTCCAGTTTTTCAGATTCCTAGTTTCGTTTTCTGTCACGCCTCTGAGCTGGGATATATACGCAACAATCCAGAAGTTTAAGTTCCTTGTTTTTTATCTATGCTTGTTTGAACTCCCTGCACCTTTGTCACCCAGCTTCGCGCGGATCGCCCGGGCATCGGCGCTGGACGCGCCCTCTCCCCTTCCCCCCCGGAGGCCTCCGTGTGCCGGGGTAAGTTCTGCGGCGCCAGGAGGCACAGGGTCTAGGACGCCCTCGCGGCAGGAGGTACTGAAGACACGACGCGGGGCGTCGAAAGCCGGAGGCGAACGGGCACGCCTTCGCCTCCCACTCTCGTGCTCGCCTTCGGCTCCCACGTTCGCGTCCGTCTCTGCCTTCAACGGCTCTGGTCTGCCTCCCACTTTCGCGGTCGTCTTCCACTTTGTTCGCGCTCGCCTGCCACTTTCGCGTTTGCCTCCCCCTTTCGCGTCCGTCTCGCACTTTTGTGTTCGCCTCTCTTTTTGGAGTTCCGCCCCCCCCCCCACAGTCACTTTCCCTTTCACCTCCCACGTTCGCTCGCCCCCGTTCGCCTCCCACTTTCGCGTTCGCCTCCCACTTTCGCGTTCGCCTCCCACGTTCGTTCGCTTTCGCTCGCCTCCCACTTTCGTTCGCCTTCCACTTTCGTGTGGGCCTCCCGCTACCGTTCGTTCGCCTCCCCCTTTCCCGTTCGCCTCCCACTTTCGCTCACCTCCCCCTTTCCCGTTCGCCCCCCCAACTTCTTCTGCCCGCCTCGCGCGCGCGCACGAAACTGGGAGGCGAAAGGGAAACTCGGGAGGCGAACGACAGCGGGAGGCGAACGCGAGACTGGGAGGCGAGCGAATGTGGCAAGCGAGCGACGGCGAGCACGACAGCGGGAGGCGAGCGCGACAGCGGGAGGCGAAACGCGAGCGCGGGAGGCGCACGGGAATGCAGCGGGAGGCGCGCGCGCGAGCCTGGGTGGCGCACGGGCGAGGCGGGAGACTGGCGAACGGGGCGAGCGACCCCGCGGCGGGCGCGCGTGAGCGCGGGCCGGCGAGCGAGGCAGGGGGAGGAGCGCGCGCCTCCCCCTTGTTGCTCGCGCTCTCAGGGGGAGGAGGAGGGGAGGAGGAGGAGGAGGAGGAGGAAGGAGGAGGAGGAGGAGAAAGGAGGAGGAGGAAGAAGAGGAGGAGGAGGAGGGGGGCCCCGCGCCCTGCCGCGCCCTGGCAGGGGCCCACCCGGGGCCCCCCCCCTCTGCTGCAAAGGGGCCCCCCTCCTTCGCTAGGTTTGGCGACAGACTGCAAGCGAGGGGCAATTCGGGTACGGAAGGGTACGTAGACGAAGAAAAAAAAACATTAGGGAAAGGGGGGGGGAACGGCATCTGCTGCATGCAGCCGGTTTCGGCCCCGCCGCCGGGCCCATTCCTCGATGCGTATCGAGGAATGGGTACGGTGGGGGCGCGTGCCAAGAAACCAGTTGGATTCTGCCAGGGTGCCCTGGGTGTCTTGGATTTCGAAGGGCCCCCAATCAGATCTTCACGATTTTCGACCGACAAATTTGGATTTTCACTGAACCACTCCCGGATTTCAGGGTTGGGTTTCTTGCGGAGGTTTCTTGTGGCCGAGCCCCCACCGTACTGGGGAAATCAGCTACATGAGCTGATGCTCTGCCCTGCCCTTTGCCATCCCCCCCTTTGCGTTCCCCCCCGGCCTCCCTGCCTCTGCCGCCTGCCCCGGCGGGAGTCGGCAGGCGCCTGCACCCGGCGGGCATCCTGAGAGAAAGAGTGTCCACTGGTGTGGGCTCTTGCTGTCGTCTAGGACAGGATGGTTCGACTCTGGACGGGGCCCTGCGCGTGCTCGTGGAGCCTCTTTTTCTCTTCGCCGAGCGTTTGCAGGAACAGTGGACCTGGGCTGTTGTCGGAGAGTGCGCTTCGAGTGAGGTCCGTTTTCTTAGCCTGCCATTCTCTTGCTTTACCTCTAAGCAGGGGTGTAACCGATCCCCATCCCCATCCTCATCCCGATCCCCCAAACCCCACCACCCCAGTTGGGGATATATCATCGAAGCCCGAAGGATCCAGTCTACATCACCATCCAGGGGGGGGTACATCGGCCAGTGGGGCCCAGGCCACGCCAGTGGGGATCTGGATCGGTCGAACGATGCTCATGGTAGGGCCTTCCTGAGATCCGGGCGTTCCATCTTTTCCAGCCGCGCGAGTTCGTCGGGCCTCGGGTCCCGGGACCATCACAGATCGACCTGGCGCGGAAACCCAGACGTCCGACGTCTCGAACGTTTCCGGACGCGGGCTCCCGACCGCCCGGCCCCTTCCCCGGGCCCGGTTCTGCGTGCCGAGCCGCTTTCTGTCTGACGGCCCCGAGGCCCCGCGACGGCCCCGATCGCGGGGCCAGAAACCACGAAGGGCCTCCGCCTCTCTCGAGACGCCCGGCGCCTGGGCCTGGCATCGCTCGGACGTGTGCCTTTTTCCTTCGGCGAGGGCCATCGAGGAGCATCCTTGAGCATTCGGCGAAAAACCACGCGCGAGACCGAACAAAAAAGCACAGGGGATGGACGTCCGAGCGATGGCCAGTGGGAGCTGGCGCGGCGAGGTGGGGCCCGGGGCTCCGGGCCGTGGCTCAGGAGGGGAAGAAACACACAGACACAATGATTCGTCGATGCCCAGAACATATGCGAAACTATGGGAAGGGGGGGGGAAGACAGAAACACAGAAAATATGGGAGAATAGGGGGAATCTTTTTATTCGTGTGTATTTATTTGTGTGCCCCAGGGCTCCGGGCCGTGGCTGCTCTCTCGGTGTGGCCGCGGGCTCGGCGCCGCCGGGCGCCCGAGAGGCTTCTCGGGGTGGCGCAGGAAGGCCGCCGCCCCGCACAGCCGCCCCCCCCCCCTTTGCAGCAGAGGGGGGGGCCCCGGGTGGGCCCCTGCCAGGGGACGGCAGGCGCGGGGCCCCCCCCCTCCTCCTCCTCCCTTCTCCTCCTCCTCCTCCTCCTCCTCCCTCCCCTCCTTCTCCTCCTCCTCCTCATCCTCCTCCTCCAGCCTCCTCCTCCTCCTCCTCCTCCCTCCTCCTCCTCCTCCTCCTCCTCTCCCCCTCTCTCTCCCCTCCTCCTCCTCCTCCTCCTCCTCCTCCTTCTCCTCCTCCTCCTCCTCCTCCTCCTCCTCCTCCTCCTCCTCCTCCTCCTCCTCCGCGAAGGTGGCCATCGGTCGTCGAGGGCGGGTGTCCTTGGATGCCCAGGGCCCAGTCTGTGGGGGGAGGGGGGGGTGCCCATGGCTCTGCCCCTGCCTCGCCTGCCCCCTTCCTGGGCCTGCTGGGAGGCCCCCGTCGCCGGCGCTGGATCCGCCCAGGAGTCCTGGTCGGGACGCGCCCCGGGAGAGGCCCAGGGAGTGGCGGTGGCGGTGCCTTGTGGGCTCCCCAATCTAGTTCAAGCGCTTTCCTATTTCAATGATCGCGTGGCTTCACCTTTTCCGTCCTCGGGGGGCGAGAACGGAGCCCCATTTGGTTCCAGCGCCTTCCTGATTCATGTCTCTACCTACTGCTTCCGACCGATGGGTCTATTCAGGGCGGTCTCCGCTCCTCAGGCCTGTGGCGCGCAGCGACCCCTGGGGGTGTTGGGACCGCCCCGGTCCGTACACTCGGGCCAGCAGGGACTACCTGTCGGTCCGGCATGCCCCTCTACAGGAAGAACACTCAGGAACAGTAGAAAAAGTCTGGGAGCGATTTCTCGTGCTCTTCTGTCTATGTTTGACCGTTGTTGAACTATTTTTATTTTTTTCACCAAGATCCGCCTGTAGGAGGACATGCCCAACATAAGACTACCTGGCGGGGCTGTCTGTGCGCAGCCCAATGTCTTAGCCAGCCCCGGGCCTCTCCAGGTGATCGACGAAATAAAACGGGGTCGTCTGCGCCGACATTCGCGCGTAAGCGTCCCACGTGAGCGCCCTCGTTGCCACTGCAGCGTGACGCGCCAGCGGCTCGCGGAAGCCGCCGCGTAGGGTCGCCACGCCATCTCGCGTACGACCTGCTTCTGATCGTCGCTCAGGTGAGGGCCCAGTTCAGCAACGCGTCTCTCACCGCGGAGGAGAAGTCGGTGGTCGAGTTCGCCTCCCAGCTGGCGGGCAAGACGCGGAGTGCCGCCGCCTCCAGCGGCAGCAGGGGCGCGGGCTCCGCCGAGGCGGAGGAGGCGCAGACGCCGGAGAAGCAAGCGGAGCAGGCGGACAGAATACGAAAGAAGGTGCGGACCATCGCCAGGACTGCAGGGGGAGGGAGGCCCAGGCCTCCAACTTGTCAGTCGAGCATGTCCCTCTAGAGAAGGAATGTTCAAAACTAGTCAAAACATAGTCGGGTGACGATTTGTTGGGTTTCTTTTTCCCAACCCTCCTTGGTTGGGTATTCGTTTTGAATAGAGCAGTGTGGTCGCGTCCTTCCTCCTCCCGCCTCCCGCCTCTTTCCTGCCTCTTTCTGTCTTGCCTGCGGGGGGCTGCGATCTGTGAAACTGTCGCCACTTTCGAGGCCTGCTGGGGGGCCCAGCACAGAGGGTAATCACGGCGGATTCAAATTAGACCTCGCCATCCCTGGGGGGCTGCGATCTGTGAAACTGTCGCCACTTTCGAGGCCTGCTGGGGGGCCCAGCACAGTGGGCCACCGCGGACTCAAATTAGACCTCGCCATCCCTGGGGGGCTGCGATCTGTGAAACTGTCGCCACTTTCGAGGCCTGCTGGGGGGCCCAGCACAGTGACGCCACGGGCGGACCCAAATTAGACCTCGCCGTCCCTGGGGGGCTGCGATCTGTGAGACTGTCGCCACGTTCGAGGCCTGCTGGGGGGCCCAGCACAGTGACGCCACGGGTGGACCCAAATTAGACCTCGCCATCCCTGGGGGGCTGCGATCTGAGATCCCCGCTTTCGCAGTGGTTAGGGTTGCTCAGGGATTGCAACTAATCAGCTTTATCTAGTCCTTGTCCTGAAGCCAGTTTCCTGCGAGTCTCCCGAATTCCGTCTGCAGACATATGTCACCCTCGCTCCGTCATCGCCCCCCTTTATAAAGTGTGCTAAACTATTTGCGCCCCGCGTTTGCGCAGGGGTTGGGTACGTCGCCAGGGTAATTTACGATCTGGGGGTATTTTTTGAGTCGTGTTTTAACATGTTTCGCCCAACATCCGCCTGTAGGGGGACATGCCCGACCTAATCCAACTTGCTGGATTCTCCTTGCGAGGGGCCCAACCAAATGCAGTTGTGAGCACCGCGTTGTGGGTGCGGTTGTCGGTGGAGCTCCCTAGGGGGGCACGCGGCGTGTCATGGCACGCGGCGTGTCATGGGGTGCGCTGTCAGTGGAGCGCATGCGGGCGCTCCCACTGGGGCCTTCGATGATCAGCTCCCTGTGGGGCCGGGACGTGTGCGTGAGCCTCCCCGCTTCGGTGGAGCTCCCAGTGGGGCCACGAAGAGTGTGAGGGGTGCGCCGACATGGGCGGGGAACCGCATGCGGCCCCCCCCCCCCCCCTCCCGGGGGCTTCGGTGGAGCTCCCTATGGGGCCTCGAGGCTTTCGAGGGGTACGCCGAAACTGGTGGGGAATCGAATGCGACACCCCCCCTCCCTGAGGGCTTCGGTGGAGCTCCCTATGTGGCCACAAAGCGTGTGAGGAGTGTGCTGGAATGTGTGTGTGTGTGTGTGCGGAGGACAGGGACAGCGATGGAAGAAGGGGAGGAGGGAGGAGGAGAGGAGAGGAGAGGAGGAGGAGACGCGGGGCGCTGTCTCTTCAAAACGAGGACCCAAGACCGCAGGATGGTTGGGAGAAAATCAAGACTGGCGTTTTTCCTTGTTTTCAGCGTCTGGGAACCCTCGCCGGGCCCTGGGAACGTCAAACAAGATCAGGGACGAGATCCGGTTCGCGGGAAGCGGTCCAGAGCTCTGGGGACCCCGTGTTGAACAAATCAAGACGTCGGAGGTGTGGGGACGTACCGATGCAGGTGTCCTTCGCTCGTTCTCGCTTTGGGGCCCCCTGAGGGGCCCTTGTCCCCACGGCCCGCTGCAGGACCACTGCACAAACACAAGCCTTCGACGCTACTCGCGGACCTCTCGGGTTGGCGCTCGGGCCCCTTCCTGGCGCGCTCCGCGTGCCAAGCGTTGCGCGGAGTTCCGGAAGTTTCTGTTCAAGCTGCTCGTCTTGCTCTACGTCCTCGCTCACGCCCCCTCCCGGGGGAGGAGGAGGAGGAGGAGGAGGAGGAGGAGGAGGAGGAGGAGGAGGAGGAGGAGGAGGAGGGGGAGGAGGAGACGGACGAGGAGGAAGAGGAGGAGGAGGGATGAGAGGAGAAGGAGGGGAGGAGGAGGAGGAGGAGGAGGGAGGAGGAGGAGGAGGAGGAGGAGGAGGAGGAGGAGACGGACGAGGAGGAGGAGGAGGAGGCGAGGAGGAGGAGGAGGAGGAGGAGGAGGAGGAGGGAGGAGGAGAGGAGGAGGGAGGAGGAGAGGAGGAGCAGAAGGAGGAGCCAGGAGGAGGAGGAGGAGGAGCGGAGGAGGAGGAGAGGAGGAGGTGGAGGGGGGAGAGGAGAAGCGGAGCAGGAGGAGCAGGAGGAGGAGGAGGAGGGGGAGGAGGAGGAGGAGGACGAGGACGAGGGGAGAGGAGGGGGTAGGAGGAGGAGGAGGCGGCGGAGGGAGGGAGGGAGGGAGGAGGGGGAGGGAGGGAAGGGAGGAGGGAGGGCGGGAGGGAGGGGGGAGGGAGGAGGAGGAGGAGGAGGAGGAGAGAGGAAGAGGAAGAGAGAGGAGGAGGAAGAGGAGAAGGAGGGAGGAGGAGGAGGAGGAGGAGGAAGAGGAGGAGGAGGGAGGAGGAAGAGGAGGAGCAGAGGAGGAGGAGGAGGAGGAGGAGGAGGAGGAGGAGGAGGAGGAGGGACGAGGAGGAGTAGGAGGAGGAGGAGGAGACCCCCCCCAGGATGGCACGCATGATGAAGACGCTGCGGCAGGAGAACGAGACCATCGTGCAGCTGAAGGGCATCTGCCCGGGCCACAAGCTCAAGCCCGGCATGATCCTCGCGGGCAAAGACCACCTCGCGAGCGAGCTCCAGCGCTTCAACCACGCGATGGAGATCGACGCCGAGAACGAGCTGCGGCCAGAGGGCGGCCCTGTGTAGGCCCGCGGCCGCGCGGGCGCCTCGGGCTCGGCACCGCGGCCCGCCTGCCTGCCTGGCCCCGACCAGGGCCCAGACAGCGCGGGGCGGGAGAGAGAGAGAGAAAGAGTTGAGGTTCAAAGCGTTGGGGTCACGCGTGTGCTGCGGTCGTGCGCATCGGCGCTTTCGCCCCGGGGGAAGCGGGTCCTTTGGGAGAACACCGGGTCCTGAGGCGTGTCGCCGCTGCCGGGCTCTCTCAGAGCACTCTTCCGCGGGCCCCATGGGCCGTCGGAAAGCCACGAGCGAAGAGCTGGCCCCGGGAGAAGGCCCCCAGGTCCAGGACCCCGCTTTTTCAGGACTCGCTTTGATGGGCCTGTTTTCCACCATCACCGCCATAAGTTGGAGGGGGTGGGGGTCCTCCTCCTCCTCCTCCTCCTCCTCCTCCTCCTCCTCCTCCTCCTCCTCCTCCTCCTCCTCCTCCCCGCGGCAGGCCCGTCTTTCTCAGGCCAGGCGCGGCGAACACCACGAGGCGTTTTGGCGAGCTTTGCTTACAGGGCAAATGACGGAGATTGCGACCGATCTCCCCACCCACTGTTCCCGCTCCTCCTCCTCGCTTTCTACGATTGACCGCGCCTTCGTCTCCCTCTCCCCCCATTTCCTCCTCGAGACCGAGGCGACCCTTGACCTGCTGCAGGAAGCCCCGAAGCTTTCCGACTGGCATCTTAGCGATCACGCGATCCTCTCGCTCACTTTGAAGCCACGCGGCGGCGCCCCGAAAGACCAGCAGGCCATCCCGCCGTTTATATCTAAGCATCCCAGGTTTCGCGAGGTGCTTAACAATTGCTTGGCTGGCTGCGATCTTGACTCCCTCTCTCCCCCCGCTGCCTGGTCCTCCCTCAAGGATAACATGATCGTGGCCGCCACAGTTGTCCGTCGCGAGGTCCAGCGCTTTCCAGACGGGGTAGGAGGGGATCACACCATCGAGGCAAGGTGCATGGCACTCCGTTCAATCGCACGTGCTATTTGGCGACAGGACCTCCAAGCCGCTACCAGGATCCAGGCAGACTCTGAGTATGGTAGGCGGTTTCTCCTCTTGGTAGGCCCTCGAGTTTTGCTCCAGGACGAGGATGGTTTTAGGAATGAGGTCGTCGCTCAGAATACTGCTCGCCACTACCAGCTCCAGGAACAGGCCGCGGCTAGGGCCCGGGCCAATCCTGGAAAAATACAGCATTGGGGGAAAGTCCAGGAGACTTCCAGTAGGAGGGCGTTGCTTTGGCGGCCTCGTCAGCGACGTCTTGTTCTTCGAGGCATTCGGATCTCTCAGACAGGCCACCAAAGCGACGTAGTCAGGGAGCCAGGTCCGATAGCGGACACTCTCAAGGAGTATTGGCGACCCGTTTTTTCGGAGCAGCCCAGACCGGTGCAAGAGATCGAAGATTCTCTTGACGAGCACATGCCTGACATTCCTGCCTATGAGTTTCACGTTTCCACCTCTGCTGAAATGGCCAAGAGTTTAAAACGGTCACGTGACTCTGCTCCTGGCCCGGACCGGCTCACATATGCAGCGTGGAAGAGCCATCCCAAATGTCTTGCTGTTCGGTACCGCCTCCTCCTCTACCTCATGGGCGGCAACCCCGCCCCTCCCAGCCTCAACCACAGTCTCTTTGTATTTATCCCCAAAGGGGAGGACCCCAGGGATGTCACAGACTGCGTCCGAGCTCCAGGTGTCCTCAGACCTCTGACCCTCAAGAATTCGGACAGCAAGCTCCTCGCGTCTGTGCTGAATCACCAGTTGCAGTACTGCGTACCCGGCCGGATCCACGTAGTCCAACAGGGATTTGTCAAAGGACGCAATCTAGCCTATAATGTGATTCGCATGGACACGGCTGCTCGCCGTGCTAGCGTAATCAACGCCGACACCGATCCGCTCTTTTTAAGCCTTGATATCAAGGCGGCGTTTCCCAGCATGAGCCAAACCTGGCTCCGACTTGTGCTGGAGAGGTGCCGCCTACCCCAGAGCTTCTTGTGGGCGATCGCTGCTCTGGCAGCCGACTCGCTGGCGCATATGTTGGTCGGATCTGTGGTCGTGCCCATGTTTTTGATCACTGCAGGCGTTCCCCAGGGGTGCCCCCTCTCTGGCTCCCTCAGGGCCCTCGGGTTTGACCCCTTCCTCCGTCACCTCGTCCTCCCCTTCCCCTCCAGAGAGCAAGCCACCCTGGGGGCGTGTGCCGACGATGTGGGAGTTGTGCTCAATCAGATATCGATGTTGCCACTGTTGTATGCGACCTTTCAGTTCGCTCAACGTCTCGCCGGGCTAGCCCTTCAGCCGGCGAAGTGCGTTGCCGTGCCGCTTGCCGTCGCCTGCACAGCAGTTGAATGCGCCCGCATCGCCAGACAGATAGCTCAATTGGTGCCGGAGTGGGCGGGCTTCCACATCGCGAGTTGGGCCAAATACTTAGGGGTCCTTATCGGCCCTGGGGCCGATCTCCGCGAGCAGTGGAAGGAGGCTGGCCAAAAGTGGTGGGCACGGTCACGAGCGATTGCGTTGACTCGAGCCCCGAGCGAGGCTGCCATACGCCTGTATGAGTGCACGTGCTTATCAGTCTCAGGGTATCTTTCAGAGTTTTTCCCGCTTTGCCAGGAAATCACACGCAAGGAATATTTTGCCCTCCGCAAGCTCCTCCGTCATCCACCCAGCTCTTTCTCTCTGCACGATTTCTTTGAGTTGAGAAGCTGGCTCCGCTCCTCCACCCCTACCAGCGTGCAGGTGTATGCGCTGGGATGCGCATGGCGTGCGTCCACGTACACTCTGTCTAATTGAGCGGGGGATTTTGAGTGGTGGTGTGACGGGTCGGGCGTGCACGGGTTTCACATGAGAGTGCGGCAGGGTCTCCTCTCAGCGGACTGCTGGGCCGAAGGTTCAGGAATCCTGCAGCACTACAGAATGTTCGTCCGCGGCTGCCGCGGCCTCCCTTTTCCTGCGAGTCTCATTCAAGAGGCGATCGCTGCAGCCAGCCCCAGAAGAGCTGAAGGCACCCGGATGGAAGAAGGGGTGGGGCGTCGTCGTCTGCGTCGTGGGAGTGGGGGGATACGGCCTCAGGGTGCCTTCATCGCTAAACTAACTAGTATAATGTACCCGGATCGTTTCCACGAGCTTCTGTCCAGAAGACTCCGCACTTGGTTCCCAAATTTGGACCCTCTGCCCGAGGACGAGATCAAAGCCAGGTGGCTATGTCTCCGGCAGGTTTTTGCGAGATCGCAACCCAGTAAAGCTCGGTCTCATCTTAAGACTCTGGCTGGAGGGTGGATCACCAGCCACAGAGTCAAGATCCTCACCCCTTTACAGTGCCGGTTTGGCTGCCCCGACTGCCCTGATTCGTTCCTCCACTACCTCTCTTGCCCCCGCCTGCTACACCTCATCGCGCTGCCCCGTCTGCATATCCCTACCGCTCCTCCGTTCCTTTGGCTTGGCCTGGGATCTGACGAGGAATACCAAGACACCGATCTCACGGTGGCCCTTGCACATGACTTAGTGAGTCTCGCTTACAGCATATTCCATAAACTTCGTGCCGAGCTAGCTGACACCCCGCAGCCGCTCGGCAGCTATGTGCAACACCTTTCAATCCGCCATGCGGCGCTCACGAGGCAGTAACCCAGGGCTCGCCTATGGACGTGCGGTCCTCCTCCTCCTCCTCCTCCTCCTCCTCCTCCTCCTCCTCCTCCAACTCCAACTCCAACTCCAACTCCTCCTCCTCCGTAGCCATTTTGGCTCAAGCCATTGGGCTGAGCTGGCCGCGGCGGGCCGTCCATGGGCGCTGCGCCTCGCGTGAGGCGAATGATGGAGCCGGCGCTGGCGGATGCGCTGGCGGGCTGCCCTGCGGCGGCGGCCGCGTTCGGGACCACGGCGGCGGCGATTGGCAGGGGCTTCTCGGGCGAGGGGCTCGCGACGCTCGTGGCCGCGGCCGTCCGCAGGGCAGCGCAGGCCTCGGCGGCGTTGGCGGCGGCTGAGGGCGTGTGCAAGTCCAGCGCGCTCCTCCTCCTCCTCCTTCTCCTTCTCCTCCTCCTCCTCCTCCTCCTCCTCCTCCTCCCTCCTCCTCCTCCTCCTCCTCCCCCTTCCACCGCCTGGATGAGGTCCAGGCGGTGGTCAACATGGTGAGCGACATGACGGGAGTCGCGCGCACCGTCAAGGACGCCAAGGAGGTGCTGTGCGGATTGGGGGCCCCAGGCCAAGCCGTGGCGGGCAGGCTGGGGCGGGCCTCCGAGCGCCGGAATGCGGCGGCCCACCCGGCGTACGCGGGCCTCGCCGCGGCGGCGGGCCAGGTGCTCGCAGACGCCGACATGCAGGTCGAGAGGAAGGCGGAGCAGGCCAACGTGTCGGAGCAGGCCGTGGCGACGACCCCCAAGGCCAGGGAGAAGCTGCAGCAGGCCGAGCAGATGGCCAGGAATACTGAGGAGATGTTGAAGCGAGCCGAGGAGGCGATGCAGCAGGCCGAGCGCAACGTGCAGCTCCCCGAAGAGAAGGCCATGCAGGAGTCGAAGAATGCCAATGGGTTGGCGAAGCAGGCCGAGGAGAGGTCGGAGGCGGTGCGCTGCCTCGTCAGCTAGTGCTCCACAGTGCACAACACCCTCCTGCAGGCGGCGTTCAAGGACAACTTTGACGACGGAGACCAGAAGAATATCGAGAAAGCGATCGATCACACCCTAGACTGGTTGGGAAAGGCCCAGTTCGAAGGGAATGTTGCGCTCGAGGGTAAGCAGAAGAAGCTGGAGGGAATCGTCAAACCCCCTTTTGATGAAGCTCGCCTGCAACCTGGAGCGGGATATTGAATCTCGCTGAGGAGGGCAAGTGGCGCGACGACGGCGAGGCCCTTCAGACACTCGCGGCTGCGCAGATCGCAGTGAAGAAGCTGGAGGAGGCCATGCAGGCGGTAAGCCATGAGCCTCGCCACGCGTGGGCGTGCAGTTCGGAGGGGGGTGATGGATAAGGGCCCCATGAGGGTCGGCGGATTGGTGGAGGGCCCCTCGTGGGTCGGTGGATCGTCTCTGGCGGTAGGGGCTCCCAGGTGGCGTGAGTGGCTTGCGCGCCACCCTGGGGAACCCAGGGCTGAGGCTTGGAGCGGACACTTGCCCCTTCTCATAGCATTCCATGGCAATCCACCTCCTCCTCCTCCTCCTCCTCCTCTTCGTCCTCCTCCTCCTCTTCGTCCTCCTCCTCCTCGTCCTCCACCTCCTTCCCCCTCCAACTTTTGGCGGTGGTTGTGGTGGTGGAAAACAGGCCCATCACGCTCCCTTCATGCCAGCATGTGTCTGGGGATCTAAGACGCCTACGGCGAATCACCGCCGCCCCTGCCTTTTTGGAAGCGCCTAGGTGGCCGAACGTTAAGACCAGACCTGCCAAGCTATCGGACCATGTGTTCCCCGCATCGGTTTGGAGAGCCTTCGGGGAACACGTGGGCATCTTGAAAGTCATCTTGGCCGCCTGGAAGTCATTTTGACCCTTTTCGGGCCTTCTGGGAAAACGTATTGGAGGGCTCTTTGGCCGTCTTGGAGGCCATCTTGAGCGTCTTGGACTTGGGCCGTCTTGGGGGCCTCTGGGGGCCGTCGTGGGCCTCTTGGGCGATCTTTGGGTGCACTCGGGCCGTCTCGGGCCGTCGGAAGGCAGAAACAAAACAAATGCCGCACCCCTTCAAAAACTCATGGGTAATCAATAATTTTGATTTTTTTTCGGCCCTTCCTGGAGGCCCTCTTGGAAGCCTCTTGGGCCGTCTTGGGCCATCTTAGAACCATCTTCGGTCGTTTTGGTGGGCTCCTGGCCCGTCCGACGCCGTCGGAAGCCGTTTGGGGGGCCCCTGTGGGCCGACTTGGGGTCCTCTTGGGATGCTTCAGGGCCGTCTTGGAGGCTATCTTGGGCGTCCTGGGCCGTCTTGGGGGCCTCTTGGGCCGTTTTGGGTCATCTTGGAGGCCTCTTTGGCGATCTGGGCGATCTTTGGGGGCTCTTGGGCCGTATTGGCCGAAAAGAAACACATGCCACCAACCTTCAAACACCTAGGACAAACAATGTTTTTGGCCTTCCCTGGAGGCCCTCTTGGAGGCCTCTTGGAGGCCTCGTGGGTCGTCTTGGGCCAGCTTCGGGCCAACTTCGGCCATCTTGGTGGGTTCCTGGGCCGTCGGAAGCCGCTTGGGGGGCCTCTCTGGGCCGACTTGGAGCCCTCTTGGGGTGCTCCAGGGCCGTCTTACAGGCCATCTTGGGCGTCTTGGAAGCCTGTAGTGTCGTCTTTGTGCCCTCTTGGGGCCGTCTTGGGGGCCTCTTGGGCAGTCCTGAGGCCATCTTGGAGGCCTCTTGGGCGCTGAGGGGACGATCTTGGGGGCCTCTTGGGCCGTCTTGGGCCGTCGGAAAGTCGAAAAGGAGCAAATACGACAATCCTTCAAAAAACCGGAGGAACATCAATGATTTTGGCCTCTTCGGGCCCTCCTGGAGGACCTCTCGGAGGCCTCCTGGGCCGTCTGGGAGGCCTCTTGGGCACTTCTTGGGCCGTCTTGGGCCGTCTTGGAGTTTTCTTGGGCGGACTTGGAGGCATCTCCTCCTCTCTTGGGCGGACTTGGAAGCCATCTTGGACCATCTTGGAGGCCATCTTGGGCCATGTTGGCCGTTTCGGAGGCCATCTTGGCAGTCTTGAAGGCCTTTTGGGGCCGTCTTGGAGGCCTCTTGGGCCGTCACGGGGCCATCTTGGAGGCCTCTTGAGCGATCTTGGGGCGATCTTGGGGGTCTCTTGGGCCGTCTTGGGCCGTCGGAAAGCCGAAAAGGCGCAAATGCCAAAATCCTTCAACAACCAAAGGGAAATCAATAATTTTGCCCCTTCGGGCTTTCCTGGGGGACCTCTTGGAGGCCTCCTGGGCCGTCTTGGAGGCCTCTTGGGGCCCTCTTGGGCCGTCTTGGGCCATCTTCAGGCCGTCTAGGGTACATCTTGGGCCGTCTTGGAGGCATCCTGGGGCCATCTGAGCCGTCTTGGAGGCCATCTTGGCCGTCTTGGAGGCATCTTGGACGTCTTGGAGGCCATCTTGGGGCCGCCTGGGGCAGGACAACCGTTTGCAACCACCTCGTCCGGGTGGCCGGCGGGACGTGACGAAGCCCCAGGGGGAGCTCTTCTGGAACAAAAACCAAAACCAAAAGCCATATCGTTCGGCACGCCAGGCAACCCTGCGATGAATCGACAGGGGGCGGCGGATCCAGGCGCGAGCGGCCAGTGCCGCCACCGTGGCAGCGCAGCACTCCTGCGGGGTGGCCCCCCCGTGTGAGAGAGCCGCCTCTCGAGGGCCGCGGCAGGTGGCAGCTGGAGCGTCCCCTGGGCTCCCAGGGCCTGAAAACGCTCGACACCTCCCTCTGCAGACTCGCTGCTGCTCCTCCTCCTCCTCCTCCTCTCCCTCCTCCTCCTCCTCCTCCTCCTCCTCCCCCTCCTCCCCCTCCTCCCCCTCCTCCTCCTCATCCCCCTCCTCATCCCCCTCCTCCTCCTCCTTCTCCTCCTTCTCCTCCTCCTCCTCCTCGTCCGCCTCCTCAGGGGCCAGGGGGCTGTGACATGTGAGACGTCGCCTTCGCAGGTCCTTTGAGGCCCGCCATATGCAGCAGCTTCTCGTCCGCAGGCAAAACTGACCGTGGAGTTCGCCGTGGCCGAGAGGGCCACAGCATGTGACGACGGGGGGCGCCTCGCTCGTGGGATCCCGCTGGTGGGCTCCTCCGGGTCTTGCGTGGGCCTCCTGGGGCCGCACGGGGAGCATCTGCGCAGTATTGCAGGGTCCTGCCCTTCAGATCCGACGCTACGCAAAGATTGCAACACCTTACCAGCCTGGAACGTATCCCTATCCCTATGCTGGGCATCGCCTCATCACGATGCCAATCTCAGGGATTCCCTCATTTTATGAGGGCGCATCCCTAAGATTGTCATCGCCTTTTGGCGTGTCCATCTCAGGGATAGGGATATGTTCGAGGCTGGTAAACACCGCAAACAAAAACCCGACTGGAGCCGCAGATCCCACATCGCTGCCGCAGTTTTCGAGCTGGCTCTCCGAGGCGGGAAGTTATCCATAGCCACCGCCTGGGGGATCGATCTTCGCGGACCTCCACAGGCGGTTGATATGGATACATTCGGGCTTCAGGGGCCATTATATATAATTGTATAATTATATATATATATATATATGTGTATCTAGGTATATATATGTATATATGTACATGCATATGTACATGCATATATTTATGTAAATATGCATATTCATCTCCATGCCGATATTCACCGCCCGCCGGGGCACTAGGACGGCGGTTCCCAGGCGGCGGATATGGATAGATCCCTGCCTTGCAGAGCCGATCTTTGATGGCTCAGGAAGGGGTGCAAACGCCGGGCTCGAAACAGTCTGAGGCGCAAGGATCTCAGGGGCGGCCGTTGTGGTGGGAAGGAGGAAGAGGGAAGGAGGATGAGGAGGAGGAGGAGGAGGAGGAGGACGAGGAGGACGAGGAGGAGGAGGAGGAGGACGAGGAGGAGGAGGAGGAGGCGGAGGAGGACGAGGAGGACGAGGAGGACGAGGAGGACGAGGAGGAGAGTGAGGCGGAGGAGGGTGGGGAGGAGGGTGAGGACGTGGAAAGGATAAGAAAAGGAGTAGTGCCTTGAGTTTTGGGGTCCTGGGGCCTTTTGGAGAGTCCCGGACCGTCTGGCCTGCACCGTGGGGCCGCTCCTGGGGCGCCTTGGTGCTGTGCTGCGGGGCGGGCCTTGGGGCCGTCCTGGGGGTGTCCTCGGCACGCCTCGCTGGGGCCGCCTCCTGGCTGGAGACTTGGGGACATCTTGGGAGCCTCTTGCGGCGTCGGACTCTGAGATCTTGGCGTTGCAGTTGTTGTCACAACGGGCGTGTTCCCCCGGTTTCGGGCCTTGGGGACCATCACAGATCGATCGGGCTCGAAAAATGCAGCAGAACCAGATGTGATTGTTTTTTTTTTTGTTTTGCGCGATAGGCCCCGCCTTCCTGTGCCCTGTCTCCCTGTTTAAAGCTGTGCGTAGCCCGCCTAGCTTTTAGCGGAAGAGGTTCGCTCTCGCCCCGCAGATCAAAAACATGTTTTTTCCCAACCATCCTGTGGTGTTGGGTCTTCGTTTTGAAGAGACGGTGCCCCGCGTCTCCTTCCTTCCTTCCTCCTCCCCCTCCTCCCTCCTCCCCCATCCTGGCTTTTGCTCTCCGCATGTCTCTGTTTCGGCACACCTCTCACACGTTTCGTGGCCCCATTGGGAGCTCCACCTAAGGTCCCAGTGGCGGAACTCGCATGGCGCCGCCGCCCCATTTTGGCACACCCCTCACACGTTTCGTGGCCCCATGGGAGCTCCACCTAAGGTCCCAGTTGCGAAACTCGCATGGCGCCGCCGCTCCATTTTGGCACACCCCTCACACGCTTCGTGGCCCCATAGGGAGCTCCACCCCAGGTCCCGGTGGCGGAACTCGCATGGCGCCGCCGCCCCATTTTGGCACACCCCTCACACGTTTCGTGGCCCCATAGGGAGCTCCACCCCCAGTGGCGAACACGTGGCAACGTGGCCCCATAGGGAGTCCAGCTAGGGTCCCAGTTTTCA